AATGGAGTTCTTATGAGCAGCAAAGAAGGTAAATGTACATTTTTACTACATTCTGACCTCCGGGGGTGAGAGTTACAATTTTACAGTAGAAACACATTTCTGAGTCCACCCCTATTTTCGACCATTGTTTGCAGCTTGAGTCTTCAGACTTTTCCAGGAAGTGTAGTGTTTTGTAATTGTCAAGACAAAGTTGTGAGCTGGAATGATAAAATGAGGGAGACAAAGGATGCAAAGAATTGGGCAAAATTAAGGAAATCATAGTGAATGATGAAAACCACTGCTGTACAACGTGAACTGAACTTAAGGGCGCCATGGTTTGGGTATCAGGGAAGTGGCTGGATGAAGTTTTTGTTGCTGGTGGCACAGAGAGCAGAGCCACTGGAAGAGCCCCAAGTTGTGGTTGATGAGGGAGGCAGAAGACTGGACGAGTGTGGGACATGGAGGCAAGGCATGAGGGGAGTTTCTGTGTCGTGAAGTTAAGCACTGGAAAGACTGGAGAGCTGATTACCTCTGGCTCTGAGGAACTCAGGTTCTGCCTTTCCTGATACCAGGTGATGGACACACAGATGCGTTCCTGTATCTAGACTGCTGTATTTTCTTTAGTAGGTATGGAAGTGGGTAGTTGTTTTGTAGTAATGTTAAACTTGCTCAGTTGTTACAGAAAGAATTAATGAGAACAGGAACTTCAACTGGGCTTGCTGATCCCTTTTTGAATTCTTTAGAGCTGTGTTCACTCTGTGAATTAAATGCTCTGACACTGAATGTGCACGTTTAGGTGTACAAATGTGCACACAAGTAGGATCATCTCTGTGTTGTTTCATAGCTTGCTTTCTTGAGTCAAGTATATTGGGACTTCTATGTGTTTGACATTGTGGTCATCATAATTCAGAAAAGTAGGCCACTAATTTTTAATGTGGATTGTTATTTCCTTCAATTTAGGTTAATTTCATATTTCTTATAAAATAAATTATGCAGTCAAAAGTGTGTGTATTGATTTAGTGGGCTCTAGAATCCGTTGATCAGTTGTAGTTTTAAGCAAGTGGCTTCATCTGCCTGTGCCTCTGCTTTCCCGTTTGTACACTGAGAATCTTAGTACCACTGCTAGCTGCAAATACTTCTAACACATGCATTATTTTAAGGACACCACATGCAGTAGCACATTTAACTCCATCTCTAACCCAAGAGATAGGTACTATTATTCCTAAGATTATCCAGCTCCTAAATGAAGCTGGGACTTTAATAAATACAGACAGGCGGTTCCACAGTGTCATAACTGGCTCCTGCATAGTGCTGAGTTTATAAGGTGTTGTAGATCATGAAGCTCAGTAAGACACAATATCTTCAGAAAGCTGAAATCAAGGCCTGGCACATATCAGGCCAGTATGTAGTATGTATTTACCCTTATTAGGCAAATTATCAAGTAATACAACTTTAAAAAATAATGCTAGAGAGAACATTGTTGATCATATGTCAAACTTAATAGTAGCAAACTTAAGTAATAGTAGTGAACTTAAATAATGGTCATATGTTCTTTATTGACAAGCAATTTGGTAAAACAAAACAGAAATATGAAAGAAAATTTCTGTCATGCTTGATTGTGCCATTGATGAAGCTAAAAATATTAATTTCATTAAGTCTTTGCCTTGAGTACACATCTTTTTACAATCCTTACCTTGAAATGGGTGTATTTAGAAAGCGCAACTGCACACTAAACAAGAAGGAAGGCTAGTGCAGGGGGAAGTGCTTGCTGCCACAGTTTGAGTTACTGACTGCATCTACTACCTTTTTCATGAAAAAAAATTACTTTTTCTTAAAAGAACAATTGAAAGACACACTATTCAACTTGTTTTAGTAGACACTTTGTAAATGATCAAGGTGAGCCTTGTGACTTCCCTGAGAATAGCCAATGGTATTGTTGCCAGTAGCACAGTTCAGACTTCTAAGCACAAGGCACAGCTCTGAGCTCGCCGTTGCCGTCACTGTGGCCCACTACCAAAGAGTGTTCTAAGGAGATCAGTGACATTCACAAACATGACTTTGTGATGAAATAACTAATAGATGATGTTACAAAATCACCCACGTGAAAAAGGTTGATTTAAGATGCACGATAGACTGTAATAGAGAAAATGATTTTTGATATGGTTGCAGATTTCGCAGTGTGATTAACCTTTTTTTTTTTTTTTTTTTTTTGTGGTGCTGGCGATTGAACCCAGGGCCTTGAACATGGAAGGCAAGCACTCTACCAGCTGAGCTATATCTCCAGCCCTGATTAACTTTTAAGAAATTGTCACTTGTTGAGGTTTGGTATAATATCAAAGAACAATATCCACAATGATATGAAAAGGTTATAAATAAGATACAGTCCTCCTTTTTCAAGTATAGCTCTAAACTAGGCTGGATTTCTTCTTACACTCTAACTAAAACAACATGTTGTGAGATATTCAGTGCCGAAGCGGAGTTAAGTCCAGCTGTCTCCTCTGAGTGGCAGAAGAGACTGAACATGTAAAGCAGTGCCATTTCTGTCGCTGCCTTCTATAGTGGGGCAGTGTAGTTCTTTTCCCTGAAATGCTGTCTGTTAACACTTAATAAGTATATTGTTTGAAGATGAATTATTAATTAAATATTTTAAACTCTTCTATTTTTAATTTCTTGTAGGATAAATTTCAGTAGCTATAATCCACATAAACAAAGCTTTTCGTGTTCTTAATAAGTTTTAGGAGAGTAAAGGTATCCCGGGCCTGAAAGTTTTAAGAGCCACTGATTTAAGGGGTAGGAAGACAAACGAGGCAGTTAGTTCACAGCCAGGTTCCAATTCTGGATCTGCTGTTTTCTAGTAGCAAATCATTTCATTTCATTGGGCGAATTTTAATTTAAGATAAATTTTAAATTTATTTGTAAAATGAGGATGATAAGGCCATTTTGCTGGAAGTAAGTAATTTGATTTGTCTTGATGTTTTGGCATTAGATGTTACAGCTGCCTGAAATCATTCCTTAAAAAAGAGTTCATGATATATAAAGTTTACTGTAAGAATCTAAAACCTTTTTCCTTGAACCATTGTACATATTTTCAAACCATGTGTAAACTTAAAATTTTACAATTAGAAAAGCAGTAGAACTAATTCAGAACATTTACTTAAGCTTAAGACAGATGGTAATCCTATAAAAAGATGGCATATATTTTTGGAAGTGCAAACAGAAAAATAGATACTCTTAAAAATTCTAGAGTAATCTTTGCCTGGAAAATGTGTGAGAAATAAAAGACCATATGGTCTAATAGAAATTTATATAGTTTCTAATCTCTAGGATTGAATTTTATTTCTTTATTACTATTGAGGTACATATGGATTGGTAGTTGAAAAGGAATAATTTTCAAGTAGATAACTACCAACTGCTTCTCCTGTGGCTGCCAGTCTTGGTATGGATGTGATAGTGGGAAGCAGAACTGTTTGAACCCCACATTTAGCGGGGTTAACTCAAATCTGAGTACTTACCACCTTGGAATAGCTACTGATTGTGCTCTAAGGGCAGTTACACTTACCTAGTGATTGAGTAGAAGGTGGTATGTGGTGAGTTCACCTGAGGACAGCTTAATGTAGATGTAGCACAGTATTTGTCAGTATTTTATTTTTTTCTGTCTTATTAAAAAATACAGTATATGACAGTAAGATGGTTTTAAAGTTGCTTTATTTAACGGAGAGGGTATTGCTGATCCCCCATAGGTTGTTTGATCTGAATGGTTCTTACTAAGTATGTGTTCATACAGATTCTAGCTATATACCAATCCAATGCTATCTATAACTGAAAGCAAATATTTGTCAGATCTCTCTCCTCTCTCACCTGCATCCTTAAGTTACCACTCTTTCTAATGGGTTCATGTTATAATTTATCCCTTCATCTGTTTTTGCCTCTTGGATTAGGCGATCATAAATAATTTATTAGTCTTCAGGTAACCATACAGTACTGTGTGTGAAACAGGGGCTTAGTAAATGCAGAGTGAGTTAAGGATTGTGATCAAAGTTCAAGCTGTTGTCATTTGCCAGGATGCTGAGTGGGCTCAGGCACGAGGTGAAAGGGCTCAACCTATGGCATTTTGCCTCTCTATGCTAGGAACTAGGAACGTGACAGTGCATGAGCCTTCCCTGCAAGAACTAGTGAAAATAAATGGATAATTTTCCAAAGATTATGGATTCTTTTTATTTATATATTTTTAAAGATGTTTAAATATTTAGAATGTGTGTAAGTTGTTGGAGGATGAGTTTGGCTGGTATTCTCTAAGTTCTATGGAGTGCCTCATGGATTGGCAAATAGGTAGAGGAAGGGAAGTAGTCAGATTTAGTGTTGAAGGTACACATGAGCACTGTTTCACACATAAGCAACTCAGTGAGACCCTGTCTCTAAGTAAACAATTCAACAACAACAAAATGGGCTGGGAATGTGCCCCAGTGGTTAAGCGCCCTTGGGTTCAATCCCCAGTGCCAAAAGAAAAAAAAAAAAAGGATAAAACAGAAAATCAAGGTGCATAAAAAGGATAAAATAGGTGAGGTCTTGTTCTTATGTCTGTCGTTGAGGGGGTACAGGTGAACCCAGGGCCTCATGCATGGTGGGCAAGTCCTCTACCACTGAGCTACATTCCTGGCCCTTTTTATTTTATTTTGAGACTGGGTCTTACTAAATTGCCCAGGTTGGCCCAGTCCTCCTGCTCAGCCTCCCCAGTAACTGAGGTGATAGACATATACCACTGTGCCCGGCTTGTTCTTAAATATTATCCAGTATTTGCCACATGCCCACTGCGTAGCAGACAGTGATCTACCATGCAGGGTGTAATAGGAAAAAACTGAAAGAGCTGACATCTCAAGAAAAGACTGGTTGTTCTTCTTCAGAAACTAAAAGATTAAAACTGAGTAAAAGAAAACTTTGGTGGAAAGTTCTACTTGAAAAATCAAAATCACTTGTGGGTATTTTAATGTGTTTTGTCTTTTTTGATTTTTTTTTTAGAAAATGGCTCCAGTGGTCATATGAGGCTGGAAAAATATATAGATGCAGCACTGCGGCCTTTCCAGATGTTTGAGTGTGATACTCCAGTGAGAAATTGATCCCTTGGATTAGGTAACTAGTCATAATGAAGAAAATTAGTCTTAAAACCTTCCGGAAGTCTTTTAATTTGAATAAAAGTAAAGAAGACACTGATTTCATGGTAGTACAACAGCCATCCCTAGCCAGTGACTTTGGAAAAGATGATTCCTTGTTTGGTAGCTGCTACGGTAAAGATATGGCCAGCTGTGATATCAATAGCGAAGATGAGAAAGGTGGGAAAAGCAGATCCAAGAGCGAGAGCCTGATGGGGACCCTGAAAAGGCGACTTTCTGTGAAGCAGAAGCCCAAGGGCAAGGGCAGCACGCCCTCGGGGGGCTTGGCTGAGGAGGACACCTTCTCCTCCTCCTCGGCTCCTGTGGTCTTCAAGGACGTCAGAGCTCAGAGGCCCATCAGGTCCACTTCCCTCCGCAGTCACCACTACAGCCCCACGCCCTGGCCTCTCCGACCCACGAACTCTGAGGAGACCTGTATCAAAATGGAGGTGAGGGTCAAAGCTTTGGTCCACTCTTCTAGTCCAAGTCCTGCGCTGAACGGGGTTCGAAAGGATTTCCATGACCTTCAGGCTGAAACTGTGTGCCAGGAGCAGAATGGTTCCCTCAAGCGTTCAGATTCTCCCCACGGAGACTTGCATCTCCACCTGGAGGAACACGTGCCTGTAGTTATTGGACTTGTGCCTCAGGACTACATTCAGTACACCGTGCCTTTAGACGAGGGGATGTGTCCTTTGGAAGGATCGCGCAGCTATTGTCTGGACACTTCTTCGCCCATGGAGGTCTCTGCGGTTCCTCCTCAAGTGGGAGGGAGCTCTTTTGCCGAAGATGAGAATCAGGTAGACCAGGACCTAGTTGTTGCCCCAGAGATCTTTGTAGACCAGTCAGTGAATGGCTTGTTGATTGGCACCACAGGAGTCATGTTGCAGAGCCCCAGAGCAAGTCATGATGAGGTCCCTCCACTCTCGCCATTGCTACCTCCAATGCAGACTAATCAGATCCAAAGGAACTTCAGTGGGCTCACGGGCACAGATGCCCATGTGGCTGAAAGTATGCGCTGTCATTTGAATTTTGATCCTAACTCTGCCCCTGGGGTGGCAAGGGTTTATGACTCTGTGCAAAGTAGTGGTCCCATGGTTGTGACAAGCCTTACGGAGGAGCTGAAGAAACTTGCAAAACAAGGATGGTACTGGGGACCAATCACACGCTGGGAGGCAGAAGGGAAGCTAGCCAACGTGCCCGATGGTTCTTTTCTTGTTCGGGATAGTTCTGACGACCGTTACCTTCTAAGCTTGAGCTTTCGTTCCCATGGTAAAACACTTCACACTAGAATTGAGCACTCGAATGGTAGGTTTAGCTTTTATGAACAACCAGATGTGGAAGGACATACATCCATAGTTGATCTAATCGAGCATTCAATCAGGGACTCTGAAAATGGAGCTTTTTGTTATTCAAGGTCTCGGTTGCCTGGATCTGCAACCTACCCCGTCAGACTGACCAATCCAGTGTCACGGTTCATGCAGGTGCGTTCTCTGCAGTACCTGTGTCGTTTCGTTATACGTCAGTATACCAGGATAGACCTGATTCAGAAACTGCCTTTGCCAAACAAAATGAAGGATTATTTACAGGAGAAGCACTACTGAAAGATTGAGAACCCTGCATCTTGCACTTTGGGAATAAGAAAAAGAGATTGAGATACAGTTTACAACTTTCATTGCCATCAGAATCTTTTGCTGCCATAACTATTTTAATTTTATGTGTAAGAGTCAACAGTTTGTTAAGGGGTGGGGAAGTGTCTGCAAGGTGTCTTGGGTTTATTTTGGTTCTTTAAAAAGGGATGTCTTGAGATTCTAGAAGTGTGAATTATCTTTCATTAGTGTGCCGAATAATCGCAATGTGAATTATCAGATTCTCCTTGATGCCCCCCCCCCGTCCTTTGCTGCTATCCACTGTGATTTTTATGCATTAAAAGCACATTTCATGTGTCTTCAACCCTAAGTAAAGTTGAATGAAACTTACAGAATGAAAATTACTTTGTCTTTTTAAATGACCCATTTTCAAAAGTTACTGTTGAATGAACGTGTGATAAAACTATTTACATATACACTGAAAATGACTTTTTAATGTCATACTTCAAAAAGATTTATTTAGAATTATTAATTGACATCATCTTAGTTAATGGGATGCAAATTTGCCACATATCTTTACAACTTCTAAATTATTTTTAAGGTTGTGCTAATATTTTGGTTGTGAAAACTTTGTGTTTTTCTGTTGCCTTCATTTTCATCTTGTGGTTTGTCCATTTTAATAAATGGCCTTACATTTAAGAGTCATAAAGAGATATATACCACAAATTTAGCAATCGTGGCCTTTTCTGTCATTAAACCCGGGTACAAATTGGCATAGTGTAAAGACCTATAGACTGGAATAGTGACTACAGAAATGAGATCAGTTCCCGTGAGAGCGCTGTGTTCATGTTGCCTGCACTGTTCCTTTGGTTAAATGTTTAATCTGTGATTTCTTTAGTTTAGTCAGCACATTCTTGGGTGAACCTGATTGTACAACTAATTTTCATAAATGGACTGGATTCTCTTAACAATGTTAAAGTTTATTAAAAAAAGTTTGAAATTGATTTGAATAGAAAGAAAAGATTGCTTTAAAGTTGGATTTATATTTTTCTTTTATGTAGTCACAATAAAATGTGCTAGATTTGACTTCTCTTTTCTCCTGCCTCTAATAAAATCAACCCTTAGTGACTTGAGTTGAAAAATTTTGGAAATTGTGGAGCATCACATGAGAAAAAGATGAAAACAGAACTATAGATACACAGAAGCCTGCCTCCTGCAGGATCCACTGCAGTTTCGGAACAGGCTTTTCATTTATTTGTTATTTTCATTGAACCAAGTCTAGAGTAATTTGGCCTCTCGTTTTTTCTGTTTTTGAGTAAGTCAATGGGAAGGGATATTATGCCTGAGAATTTTTAGTTATTTTGGAATGTGGAGTGTTTGTTCACTTTGTAATTCTGCAACATAGTCTAATTTTCAGATTGTTCCATTCAGAAAACATTCCCAGCTAAACAAGCCTTAAAGCAAAATGCTGGACATTTCTTCCTGTGTCACTTTAATTTTTCCCGTCTTCCCTTCTTTAAAACACAAGGGTAAAGGTCTTTGGTCTATGGCTGGCATTGTCATCAAACATCTCTGTATCCTCACTTTTTTCTTAGTTTTTGCTTTTTTGTGGGGGGTGGGGGTGGAGGTGCTGGGGTTCATGCTAGGCACATGTTTTATCACTGAGCTACATCCCCAGCCTCTCTGTTTTTTTTTTTTTTTTTTTTAAGAGACAGAACTGAGATATTACCAAGGAAAGGCACAATGCCATATCACAGTGTTTGGTATTTTGACTTAAATGGGGAAAGGTACTTCATTTTGGTGGGACATTGATTGTACCTTGTTACAAAGACTCCTTTCATTTTTTGATGTTTTCACCTAATGAGATGGAATATGGCGTATTCTATAATAATATAATTTAAGTGTTCACTATAAGCTATTTGGATTAAGAACTATTACAGAGTTGTAACCATGTGATCAAATTGATGCAAGACATTTAACTATTTTTGCAAAACTATTTATTTTTAAACAATTTAAAATATATCTAGAAGTCCTTGTGCATCCATGTTAGATGGCAGGTATTGTCACAGTCACTTGTGCTGATGGTAAGTGTTGAGATGGCTTCTTTGTGTCTGTCTGTACTCGGTGAGCTGGCGGTACAGAGGCCTTGGGACCACACCTACCAATCTCTGTGGATGTAGCCTGTCCCTGCATTTTCTCATAATGCCATGTGCTTAAAATATGCCCATGTAGTGTCAAGATTATTTTGACCTTTATCCAAATGTTTTTTAAATTGTATTTTGTGGTTTTTTGGAGGGCAAGTCAATACTGTTCTAATTTGGAAAAACAATTTTTTATGTACTTTGGTGTATTCATAATGCAAAATACCTTAAAGTAATATGCCCTATTATAATTCAACTTGAAATTGTTATGTTCTTATAGTATATAGATAAAAATCAAAGGATTTGCCAAGAAATTAAATTTGCAAACAGAAATGTGTATTGCAGAATTTGCTGCTTATGTGTAGAGAGGTACCTCTTTTGACCTAGGCAGTTTGACATAATGTGGAAGATTGGCTTTTCTGATACTGAAATGGTCTGGTAAAAGTGGAAAGGGGAGAAAGAGAGAAATCTTTATCCTATAGCTTGGTCTAGATTCTATTTGTTGAAGTTTGTGGATTCTGTTGAAAGGGAACTTAAGTGACATGGACCCAACTTGTAAGTGATTCTCAAGTATGTACTTTAAAAGAAATCAGACCTCCTGGAAAACAGGAAGCTGTGTCCATTTGTGACAGTAAATGGATCAGAGGTAATTTTTTTTTTTTAATCAAATATTTCATCATAGAGCTTGGTGGAGGCTGGAAGCTATTTTGAGGCTTACTATGACAATGCATTTTATAAATGAAAAGAAAGCTGTGGAACGTACTTGAAAAATGTCTCCTTTCTCTGTCTAAGGAAAACTGTTTTCTTTCTGCTTGGTGCAATATGAAAATTTAAAAAGTCACACATTATATCACAGGAAATGACCTAGAACTAAAAATAGTTTTAAGGAAACCAGCTACCTAGGGCAGCCCTCTTGCCATTGAAGAAAATCACGTGCCAAAAGGCAAAATCATTGGCATATAGGAAATGAAACACAAAGTATATGTTATATTTTCTGAGCCAGTATTATTGAAACAGGATAAAAGTTACTAAAATCTTAAATAGGTTTATGCAATGTTTCCTAGTGCCACAGGTCTATCTTTCTAACAATGCTTTCAGGAATGCCAGTTTTAATTATTGTACGTGTCACATAGTATATGAGAGATATTGCTTTATGAATGATTCAAAATAATATATTTTGATTTAAAACTTAATTGCTTTTTATTGAATGTGAAATATTAATTTGAAAGTGAAATCACACTACCAGCAATAGATACTTTTGTTGAATACTCTAATAAGGAACAATAGCCAGTTCCATAAATTTAAAATTCTAAAGGTGTTGGTACGCTAGTAATCACATATTTGGTTTCTTTTAATACTTTTTTAATCCTGTAAAAAAAGGTCTTTTATAAACATCCTTTTTATTGATCAATCATAACATGGCAAAATGTGTAGTCACTGTTCCTGAAAAGTTATCCAAATGCTACATCCAGAGATGAGGAGAAATTCTTATAGAATTTTGTCATAGTATATATGTTGGGTTAAAGAAATTTCATAGTTGTTGGAGTGCCATGAAATTAATACTTGCAATCCAGATTGCTGTAGTTTACACTTTTTCTGTATGTTTCAAATCAGGTGTGTACCATTTGTACTGAGAACACCACAGAACGAACTATCCAAAGTCCATAGATTTTAATATGTGTTTTGGTTTGTAAACAAATTATAGTAATTTCTTGCACATTTTTGGAAATTAATTGTATAAGAGTTTATGTATCTGCTCCTAGATACAGTGTGTAAATAAAAATTTCGTTCACAAGATCTCTCTGGTAGCCTATTTAATATTCTGGTATGGTGTCTGATTTGAATTAGTATCTGGTTAACTAGGTTAGCTAGGCAGATTCTGGATGTCCCATAAACTGGTCAGATACTGGAGAGTGGGAGCCACTAAGTTTTGTTGTAAAAAGGGAAAAATAAAATTCTTTCACTAAAGGAAGATGTTGAATTAAGAGTCCACAGTGGTGCTGATGTGCCAAACACCAGAATTGAGCAATCAGGAGAACATCTAACCAAACAGAAAGACTGAATTCAAACTAGCACACTAAATTCAAACTCTTTCACTCAAAGAGGTCCAGGATGGGTGATAAAGTGTTCGAATTATGATATTTAGGAAACATGTCCCTTCTTAACAGTATTTTGTGGGAATAGAACCGGCCATGTAGATGCATGTGTCTAGAGGTCATTTAGCAATCCTTTTACTAATAAGATTTCTCAGGTCTACTGGATTTAAATTTATGCTTTTAAAATTCTTAAACTTGTTGGGTAAACATTTGTTTTAAAATTTTGTTCTATATTTTTAATGAACCACTTTTAAAATCATGGCGGGGCTGGGGATGTGGCTCAAGTGGAAACGCGCTTGCCTGGCATGCACGGGCACTGAGTTTGATCCTCAGCACCACATAAAAATAAAGATGTTGTGTCCACTGAAAACTGAAAAATAAATATTTAAAAAAATTTTTCTCTCTCTCTAAAAAAAAAAAAAATCATGGCTATTCAAAGATGAATTTTAACCTGATTGTGTACAGAATTTTAACTTTAATAGAATCCAAAAAAATGTGGAGCTGTAACCTTAACGTTCTCCAGAGCTGTCACCAGTTGACAATGTTAGTGTCATACTTTGGGTTAGCAGAGGAGAATGGTCAGGGCTCAAGAACTGTGAAGAGACTAGACATTTACTTAAGCCATGAGCAGGAAAATGGATTTGTTCTTTTTAGTTATACACGGCAGTAGAATGTATTTTGGCATATTATTCATACCTGGAGAGGAAAATTGATTTTAAAAACATAATGCAGATGTTTATTTTCTTGAATGTAATACATAAAATATTGCAAGAAGACAACAGCTTCATACTACCCCTTATTTCCCAATCATTTTACTCTTTGATAATTAAAGCCCCACATGAAGTAAAAAACTTAGCCAAAGTAGTGTTTTTATGATGTTAGGTCATAAAGATCCCCAAACCTACATCCAGATTATGTACAACTTCATTCTTAGGTTAAGCAGGAGTAGTGATCTCATCGAGGGCTTTGTATGAACAGACACCGAGGACAAGACTGAACTGCTTTTATTGGTATGGAGACCAAAATGGGAGGTGCAGACCTAGACAGATCCCTAAGGATGTGCTTAGGAGAAGAATACTGAGAATATAACCATCCCCAATTTCACCCAACACAGGTACAGATCCTCCAAGATAAGGGTGGCTACTGCCAGAAG